CCACGCCAGGCCGCGGCTCGGGTGCGGCCTGCAGGGGGCTCTGGGCCGGGCTCCGTCGCGACCGACCGGCACCTTCCGGGGCGCCCACCTGTTCCTCGGCCCCTACCGCCGCTTCCGAGTCGGGGTCGTGGGGTACCCCGGGCTGCGGGGGCGCCGGGAGGGCTTCGACGGTGGCTTCGGGGCTTTGGAGCTGCTTCAGCACCGAGCAGCCTCGGTCTTGGCTGTTATCCTTTCCTGCAGCAGGCTAATGAGCTTATCTGCTCCTTCTGGGATGCGGTGTAAGCACAGAAGTCGGCGTATGTTTTACCTGTAAGTGGCCTTCACGTCTAAGTGGCGGTTATCCGAAGTATCATTCACTCCTTTTAAGGGTTTTTGGGGCACATGAAAGCGGTTCTCCGCTTAGGTGTTGGTTACTGTGAGAGGACCGCAGAGCCTGCGAGCTGTCAGATTTTTAAATCTTAGATCAGCAGTCACCACAGCAGGAGGCAAAGGTGGGTTTGTCTTGGCCATCTGCAGTTTGTGGGGGCAGCTACGGGTGCGTCAGGCTGAACACACGCACGTGTGTGTTATTCCAGGAGGCTGGGTATGTGAAATGGTATTTTGGTTCTATTAAAATCATACCTGCTTCTGTCTGAACGAGTATTTTTTTTTTGTAATAGACCTGTATGGAAGTCTTAAAGTAGGTAATGAAGTTGTTGCCCTTTGGAGACGTTCTGGAGTGGCCTGTGTGTGACATGAAAACTGAAGAAAAATCACCCTGACCTTGTAGCTTCTTTAGTAATCCCCTGTGATGTGTGTTTGTCGCGAGCTGCAATGTTACATGTTCGAGTAACAGTAATGGATTATAATGGTAATTGTGGGCTTTTAAATGTCAAAAGTTGTTTGAGTTTGCAGTACTTTAACATGGATCTTGCTGAAGTGTCAGTTAGTACACTTCATGAATTTTGTTTGCTCTGAGTTCTCTTTTTGTGGCTGCAAATCTTTCACTTTACGTTAGACCAAGTGTCAACCTAGTAATAAGACTCTAACAGATCTATGGTTTCTTTTAACTTCAAAACTGTCAGTACCTAATTCTGGTGTTACTTTCTAAAACGCTGTGGCTGTGCGGAATTAAGCAACCAGGAAATACATTTTGTGATGGATACGTTTCCCTTTCTCCATACATTAAAGTTACGTTATGCTGCGAACGTGCTTGCAGTTTGGTTGTGATGAGGGGGACCAGAAATAACCAGGCAGCTGTCTGTAGGGGGAAGTTAGAGCATCAGCCAATAGCTCTGCTGAGCTTCCAACAGGTCAGTAGCCCCATAAGCTTAGTAGTAATGTATGTTAAATTATAATTCTACATACTTGATACTTATCCAGGGCAATAATTGGTGGCAGAAAAATCAGCCCATTGTTTAGAAATGCCTGTAGGCAGAGGGCTGTCTTCCATTTTAACCTTTTCTTCGAAGGAGAGCAGAGGTGGTGTAGTTGAGATTCATTGTGCAGGCTTAGATCTCGGACTTTTTTTCTCCAAAGCACATAGAATATGTGGTAAACAGTCAATAAAACTACCTGTCATGCCGCTTTCACGAAGAGAAGAAAAACTTAAATTTTGAACGTGCTTAAAAGCAGATTCTGAATTTAATCACACTTGGGCAGCAGCGTAAAAGTATAAGAAACTGTTCCGACATTTTCCTGCAGGAAGAAGTCAGTGCAGCTACGAGCTGTTGCACTTGCGGGTACTCACAGAAAACCCTGGCTACTTTCTTCTGGCTTTTAGAATCTTCTCCTGAAAGAAGTGGTTGCATTCAAACTTAAAGTATTCATTCTTGTGATTGACTTCCTTGTTTACCAAGCAAGTCAAGCTTTGAGGCCTGGATTTCATTCAGGCTTTTCAGTATAATTGGTGTGTGTATGTGCCTGTTTCTGGAGAGGGGAGAGGGTGAAAACTGCGCTAATGTTGTCAAGTGTGCAAGAAAAAGTCCAGTTTTGTGAGGTTGAGGAGGAGGATGTAGTTCTTTATAGCGCTTTACTGTGGGATGCTGTAAATTTAAGCTTCACTGATACGTTCTCCAATACAAGCTGTTTCTCCATTGTGGATATTCATTCCAGTGTAGCTGTAAAGGTCTTCGTGGTATACACAGATCTCAGTTCACTCTGAGGTCCTGCCTTGAATTAAAAAAGAGAGAGAGAGAGCAAAGTTTCCCTACCTGCATTGAGTTGAACTGGTCAAAATAATCTTTTCCCCAGGCTTTCAGAACCTGCTTGCTTTGAGAAACCATCTTCTGTGCCAATTGTTCATCTTTGTTTGGACTGCTGCATAAAGCCATGCTGACTCAGGAGCAATGTTTTAATTGTACACATGCATTTAGCACTTGAGACCTCTTCTAGTAATTGCTGCGGAATATATTTATAACTTAGTTTCACACACTTAGTTCAGAATTTATAGGGGTAACCTCTATTTCAAAGGAGGCCTATAAGAAATAAGCTATTTTAAAAAAATTACATCATCTTGGAAGCCACCCGGGATGTCTGGTATTATGTCTTCATTTATCCAGCCTTTTCCCCTCGAAAAAACATATGGGCAAACTACTTCTGCTACATGACTTAAGCACTGAGTATCAACATCAATTTCCTTCCAAAGCCTGTGTGTTAGCAAGAATGTACCACGACTCATGTTGGATGAAAGCATGAGTTTAGTGGTATCACCCACAAAGATGGGCGATACAATTTTCTTGCAGGAAAATCCTTTTCCTGGAAGAACCGT